GTTGTGGAAGTTTCGGAATCGCGTCCGTTCTACAACAATTTCGTGCAACTAGCACTTGTTGTATTTTGTCTTTTAGCTTCATTGGCGGGACCAGTGTCCTCGAGTTCCTTCAACCATTCTTCTTGGTTCCGGTGCGACCCTTTGCCGCTCAGAGCCAAAGATCTTGTTCGACGCTGAACCTGTGGGTTCCACCAGATTTTACCCTCTTCGGCTTCTTCGAAGACCAAAATGGGCAAGAATTTTTCGTCCTGACATAAAGAAAATTTGACTAGAACGAAACCCAACTTGCGATGAAACAACCAGATCAGTTCGCGTGCACAAATGAAATATCACACCGCAATTCGCATTACATGTGACAATTGGCGGTGAATTTTAATTAGAGGTGTCAACGCGCTGTAAGGGGTTAATGATATTCAAAAATAGTTTCTTTGCTTTAACTTAAAAAGTAAACAAGCCTTTTCTCCCATTCTTTTTGCGAAATATTCATCTCAGTCTTCTCAATTTGAACGGCCAAAAAAAGATTTTTCGCATTTTCGTAAAAATTCACCTACCATAATGCCTCAAATGATTTTAATGTCATTTTAAGAACATCTGTATATAAGCCTTACGCGAAATATCTTTTCTTATTCCTGATGAAGCCGTAGATCGGCGAAAGCTTGCATTTTTTTAAACGATTTTAATATCATTTTACAGTAGTGTAAGGCCTCAATTGAACTTTTGCCAGTTTCAATTAATAATTGCTCACACCTGACAACTCCGTTACGATATCTTATATCGACGCTGGTAATTACAAAATGATTTCATACTTCGAGAACGCTCTACTTGTTTCTCATAAGGTCCGACAACAATACACCATTTCATAGGCTTATTACATTACTGAGCCCTTTAACTCTGACAACACAAAATGATGCCCATGCGTGGGCAAATGCTGTGTCTGGTTGTTTCAAATGCAAGCCGGTCCAAAAGTAAAGTTATAAACCAGCTACCTATGATAATTTTAGAATAAAACCAATTTCCGATTAAAGAATGCTTAAAGGGAAAAAGTGTTGCATGTAGCCGTTGAGAAGTGGTGGTTCCCTCCACCCTTGTGGTACACGTACAGTGGTCCTACAACGGCACCCAACGGTAGATCAGCCACAGTCAGGTTTATTATGAGGTACGTACTGCGCTTGCGTAGGTGGCGAATCCTTGCAAAGGCGGTGATAGTCACAGCATTGATAATCGATATCATAAGAGACTCAGTGATTAGGACCGGAAACCAGTTGGTGTCTTGTTTCACAGGAGAATCTTCAGTAGTCATTTCTGTGAACGAAATTTAATAGTCTTTGTCTTGTAAGTATTCCAGTACTGCTACGAATATAATAATAATAATAATAATAATAATAATAATAATAATAAAAATGAAGATGAACGATTAAATAAATTTATGTTGATGTTATGTACGCTTTCTCAGTCGTTCTACTTTTTTTTTACGAATGATCATGAATTTCTTTTATTTACCATAACGTTTTCAATGCCTCCAAACAAACTTAATCTATTTAGTTCTAATAGATGCACTTTGCAAGGATTAAAAGCGCTTTATAACTCCCATGTTGTGGCAATTTAGAATTGTGCAGGTGATAAAGAAAAATCCAGACTGCTTGATACCGAATGAATAATGGCTTATCACGGATAATGGAACAACAAACTTTATCAAATTGCGAAAAGGTTGTGTTTCATCTCATTTAACAAAAGAAATGATCATCAGTGTTTTAAATCAACGTTTTGTGATCTGATTAATATGGATACTATAATGCTAAAAGAAGGAGGTGTTTCTCTGGCAAAGTTAACTGAATTTTAAGAATTTTCCGTATTATCCTAAATTTACAAAATGGCTCGGTGGTCAGTTGAAAAGCCACCTGTAGGATATGTTGCTTTTAAAATTGCCATTTTCGGACGCGTAAGAAGAAGAAAAAACGTTAATAAACCAGCTTTATAAAAAATGATTTCAAAAAAGTGCAGTATTCTTCGAATTTTGTTTTCCAATTATTTCTCAGACTAGTTGAATATGTCACTAACGCAGAATAAATGGGTGACACTTTTTTACAGATGTTTTTACTTTGTTTTTATCAGGATCACATAGGTTTTACAACGAAAGCCCCCACTGTTGAGTTACTAAACATTTTCCCGTCAGTGCTATTTTCTCAGTATTTTAGATTTTTCAGTAGAATTTTCTACAATACGAAGATAATTAAGATAAGACAAGATAATTTATTTAATGCCAAATTACACAGGGGGTGGTCTCCCAGTCCCCCGAGCCAAAGGCTCATGATAAAAGTGTTTGACAAAGTGTTTGAAGAAGCCACAGATGTGCTTTATGTGTTTATGTCAACTACCCTTGCGAACAGAGGCGTCTGTTCGGCAAAACATTCTTACATGGGCTTCTTTTTTAATTCTTCTTTCCTGGTGGAAGAATTTTACTTACCTCTTTTCTTCACAACACAACTTCCCTCAGGATTTAATAAAGTGAAACTTCACGCTGGCAAATATCCAACTACTTTTCCGCTATTGTTCTGGGCTCCAGATGACATTGATTTGCATACATGAATTTTTCTTATGTTTTAGTCTGTCAACAGAGAATCAACCTATATTACCGAAAACATCAACTTTTAGTTTCTGAATTTAATTTGGTTTAGTTTGGAATCTTAAATAAAATTTCCCGCCGATTGCTAGCCCACAGCAGAGTTTCGATGGCGATCTGA